GAGAAACCTTGGTGAAATTCTTTCGCAACAATGAACACAACAGGTGTTAGATTTGAGGTGCTCAATCAGGAAAATTACGACACCTGGAAACTTCAAATGCGTGCAATCTTGATAAAAAACGACATGTGGGGATACGCGAATGGAACTATCGCAAAGCCTGTAGTGATACAGAACGACGCGGCATCTCAGGCGGCATCCGATGTATGGACTGCAGCAGACTTAAAAGCTCAGTCAGATATTATCCTGGCTATAAATCCAAGTGAACTAAGGCAAGTTAAAAATTGCCAGACCGCTCATGAAATTTGGACGAAACTAGCGACTATATACCAGTCCAAAGGTCCGGCGCGAAAGGCGGCTTTATTAAATAATTTAATATCTCTAAAAATGCACGACGGTGACGATGTTCATGAACATTCGCGTGTATTTTTCGATATTGTCGATAAATTGTCGGAACTAGAGATTGTAATTAACGCGGATTTATTAGTCGTTATGCTCCTGCGCAGTCTGCCAGAAAGTTTTGAAAACTTTCGATGCGCGATATCATCGAGAGACGAGCTGCCCTCCCTCGAAAATCTCAGAATCAAAATCAGCGAAGAAGTCGACGCCCGAAAGGAAGTAAATCGAAGCTCTTAACAAAACGCAATGTTCGTGGGAAAGTCGAATGGAAAGGAGGACAACGGAAATACGTTCGAAACGAAAAATCGGGTAACGATGAACACAAAAGTGACTTTAGGATGAAATGCTATAAGTGCGGTAAGATCGGGCATCGTGCGAAAAACTGTGATAAAGCAAAAACATCGAAGGAACAATCTGCCAAAAGTGAGGAAACGGTTTGTTTATTTACAACGTTAGAAGAAAGAAGTGACAAATCTTTCCAAACAAGTGACAGTGTAAATAGAAATTCTAACGATTGGTGCTTTGACAGTGGTTGCACGTCGCACATGTGCAATAATATAGAATCGTTTGCAAAGATCGACCGTGATAGTGACTGTGGTGAATTGAGTCTCGCAAATTGTGCACGTACTGAAATTTTAGCTCGAGGTACCGTATGTACAACGATCAAAGTAGATGGTGGCGAGAAAGTTATGAATTTCAGTGACACATTATTTGTGCCAGATTTGCGCACAAACCTTATATCGATAAGTAAAATAACGAAAAAGGGACACAACGTGGTTTTTTGCGAGGATAAAGCCGAAGTCATAAGTCGCGAAGGAAAAGTGCTAATAACCGCAAAACATGAAAATGGATTATACTATCTACGAAATTCACCGAGTGTTGAGTGTAATAAAATCACCGAGGCAGACATTCCCAGTAAATTCCCCAAGAAAAACTCCCTCGAAGACTGGCATCAGAAGATGGGTCATTTAAATGTCGCGTTTATTCGAGAAGCTGTCAAATCGGGATCCGTTCGCGGAATTAAGATCGAAAATTTGGACGAGAATTTTGAATGCAGAGTTTGCCTTCAGGGGAAGATGTGCCGGTTGCCCTTTCCAAAAATATCCAAGAGAGTGATAAGTTTGGGTGACCTTGTTCACTCTGATCTATGTGGACCGATGCGAGTGGAGTCAATGGGGAAGAAGTTGTACTTCGTGACTTTTATTGATGACGCCACAAGGTGGTCCGAAGTGAGGTTAATTCGACACAAAAACGAAGCATTGACAGAGTTTGAAAAATACAGAACTCTCGTGGATACGCAAAAGGGACGAAAAATAAAACAACTCCAGTCCGACAACGGGAAGGAGTACAACAACGAGAAATTCTTGAAGACTCTGCAGACACACGGAATAACACGGAGAATGACGGCTCCGTACAACCCCGAACAAAACGGCGTGGCCGAGAGACTGAACAGAACGTTGGTGGAGATGACGAGGTGTCTATTAATACAAAGTGGACTGCCATCTTCATTCTGGGCAGAGATTTTGAACACCGCAAATTATATTCATAATCGATCGCCGAATAGTAAACTCGGCGGAAAAACACCGTTCGAAGAATGGCACGGGGAGCCTCCGGACGTGAGCAACTTCAAGCGATTCGGATGTGAAGTCTACGTGATGGACAGATCGATCGACAAAGGAAAATTGGAACCACGAGCAGAAAGAGGAATATTCATCGGATACAGTGAAGAATCAAAAGCCCACAGAATTTGGCTACCGAACAAAAAGAGGCTGGTTATATCCCGAGATGTTAAATTTTTGGAAAGCAGCATTGATTCTTCATTGGAGAACAAAGAGGATTCAAGACAGAAACGAGACGATTTCCAGACACCTGTCACTTCGATGGACATGTGTAAAGAAAAATTCGATGATCCCTTCAGCATGATCGATTTATGCAGTCAACAAACTCCAAGACCTGAACAAAATGTAAACGAGCCAGCAGAAAATGTGCTGGACGAACAGGAAGAAGGATCAGAAGCAGATTACGAAGATTTTCTAGGCTTTCCAGGGGAAGGTCCGGAAGATGATCACCAGGACGACGGGGAAGTCAGATCAAATCGAGGAAGACGGCGAATAATACGAACAGGACAACGTGGACGACCAAGAAAGGAGCACAGAGCCTTTTGCAGCGAAAATGTTCACGAATTCGACCAAGCCTTTTTAGCCGAGATTCCTGTAAATCAAGCCCTGATCAACGAAGATTCCTACGAGTGGAAGGTGGCCATGGCAGACGAGGTCAAATCCATTATAAGCAAAGATACGTGGGACTTAATCAACAGACCTGAAGATAGATCTGTAATAGGAAGTCGATTCATCCTACGCAACAAATATGGATTAAGCGAAATTCTCGAGAAGAGGAAAGCCAGAATCGTCGCAAAAGGCTACGCCCAACAGTATGGAAAAGACTACTACCAAACATACGCACCGGTCGCTCGGCTTAGCTCCATACGGACCGCAATTGCCTTCGCTGCACAAAAGAAAATGCACATTCGCCAATATGATGTCGAAACTGCATACCTCAACGGACGATTGGAAGAGGAAGTCCTCATGGAAGTTTCAGAAAAATTCGAAGAAATCCTGGAGTTCATCATCGGCAGCTCAACGGACAAGCAGTGCATCAAGAGATCGAAGGAATTATTGGACCAACTCGACTCTGGAAATAAAGTATGCAGAATGAAAAAGGCGATTTACGGCTTGAAGCAAGCTGGACGGACGTGGCACAAACTCCTGGACAGCAAACTACGAGAATTAGATGCGAAGCCAACGGAAGCTGATCACTGTGTCTACTTGTGTCAAGAAGACGAAGCACTGCTCATCATCGTGGTTTACGTTGATGACATTCTACTGATGTGTCAAGATCCGACGAGAATTTCATTTTTCGGATCCCAGCTGGCGAAGAGTTTCGAGATCAAAGATTTGGGCGAAATCAAACGATGCCTGGGGATGGAGTTTCACCAAACCGAAGACGGAATCCTTGTAAACCAAAAGACTTACATCGCCGAGATATTGCAACGATTCGGGATGACGGATTGTAAGCCTGTCTCGACACCTATGGAAGTTGGCGCTAAAATTACCAAAGGAGAAAGATGGGAGAAATCGGATGGAAACCCACCTCCCTACCGTGAACTAATAGGATGTTTGCTGTACCTCTCTGTTGCCACTCGTCCCGATATATCTCACACTGTAAGTACACTTAGTCAATACAATGATAATTTTTCGAAGGGTCACTTGGACAGCTGCAAAGAGAGTCATGCGGTACCTAAAAGGAACAGACGACCTTGGAATAACCTACAAACGCCAAGCAGGAAATCCGGTAGGATTTGTAGACGCCGACTGGGCAGGATCGATAGATGATCGACGATCTTTCACCGGATACATTTTCACGATGGAATGCGGCGCCGTTGTCTGGGATTCAAGAAAACAGCGCACTGTAGCTCTGTCGACGACGGAGGCCGAGTACATGGCCTTAAGCGACGCTACCAAGGAGGCATTACACCTTCGCAGATTTTTGTTGGAACTCGGAGAACGCGATCTGAAAAGCATCAAATTAAAAATCGACAATCTCAGCGCACAGAAGCTGGCGATGAATCCGGTGTATCACGCCAGAACCAAACATATCGACGTGAAGCACCACTTTGTACGCGAGGTCATCGAATCTGAGGAAGTAAATCTGGAGCATATGGCATCGGAAGACATGCCCGCGGATATTTTGACGAAGCCCTTGAGCAAACCGAAGCATGAACGATGTATAAAATCATTAGGAATGTTTAAAATGTAAAATGATCTGTTTAAGGGCATCCGGGAAAAATTGAGCCCAAAAAGTGTTTTCCCGCGTGTCGTCTCACTCCTAAATAATTAGAGATATTTAGTTCGGATTTATCATGATAATTAGGAGAATTCATGGTGATAAAGAATATTCTCGAAAATTGCAAGTAATTTTTGAAATAAATATTGAAAAACGAAATTACAAAAGTTGGATTTTGGGCGAAAGAGAGAGACAATATGGCGGCGAGACACAGACAAGTGGATCTATGTGTCAGTGGTCAAGGAGGTGGCGCCAATTCTCGGAAGTGGTCGCGACTCGAACTGAGGAAATGTATTAATCTCAAAATACTCCACTTTCAATCGTTAATAAAATAATTTCCTCGCAAAATTATTGCAAAAACGGAGAGGGCCGCTCCTCGGTGAGTGAAATTCCTCTATCACCCCTCCAAATATGAACCCGAAATATTTTATCCTCTCAAAATGAGACGTCTATACTGAACCGTTCAAAACCCCCTTTTTCCGTATATTTAAACAATTTTTTTCAATAATTATTTATCAAAATTTCTCTAAAATCCGAGAGGACCGCTGGTCCCAGAGCATTTCTCTATATTTACCAAAAAATCCCGACTCAAAATATTCTTTTCTTTTTAAATGAGATGTCTATCACGAAACCAGTATTATTTCCCGGATGCCCTTAAGTGACTTTTATTTGTGGGTGTTTACGAGATGTACGACCTAGGGCGCCCCGGAGGCGCAAGGGGTTCTCAACTTGAGTTTTGTTTGAAACATGGGTTGCAACATATGAATGAGCTTTACGCACTTCGTCTTTTATTGTGATGCATATATGCACATTCCTATATGTAAATTGTGAAATAAAGTTAAGTGATAATTTAAAAGTTAATTAAATTGTTTTGTAATTGTGCAAAAACATGTTTTAAGAAGCTTTTCTTCAATTCCAGTTCTGCAGGAATTTTGGTTGCAAGAATGTGGATATAAAACATTTTTGAGGTTAGATTTCATTTTATTTAATTATTAGTCAAACTATGTAATGTTTTAATATTTTACTCTCATTAGTGTAGAAAAATTGTTGTTTATAAATAATTAATTTAATTTTCAATCAGTGAATATAATTAAATAATTGGTTAACGACTTTATTACATGAAGTTGTCTTTTATTTTGAGGTTAGTTTATAAATTTTTTTCCTTACTCTCAATTATTGTTATCAAAAGATAACAATAACTAAAAATGTATACACATAAAAATAAAATTAACTGATTTTCATTTAATATGAAATATTTAATAAAATTTAAACAGTATTTTACCAAAGTTGGAAAAACTATTTATCAATGTTTATTTTTAGATTATCATTATAAGCTGCGTTGCAGCTGATTTTTAGAAAATTGGAACTTTTTCAGTGGATATATATTCTTGATGTAAGTGAAAGAGTTTTCAAGATAGTTGCAAAAGGAAATTTTTTAAAAATTTATTGGCAAATAAATATTCATTCAACATGAACTAGAAAGGTATTGAAAATAATGGTATATTCAGTTTAAATTTACACCATGAAATGTTTTTTTGTACAATTTTTGTAATAATAAAAATAATAGCAGATAATCATTTCCTTTTTTGCAGGCAAAGGAATTATTATTACTCCTTCAATTGACGACCCTATTATGGACCTCTTATTTTTTCTACACTTCTATAATAGCGTGTAATTTCCTTAAAATTGTTTTTCGATTTCTTATTTAAATGTAACAACAATTTGTTTGCATTTTTTAAGTATCTATTTTTTTAACTGAATTATTTTTTCAATTTAACCAAGTTTGTGATTTAATTTGCGTATTTTCAAAATTATCTCTGCTCTCTAAATCTGAATTGATCTGAATATGTGAAAATTCACATTTTTCTAAGTTATAAGTCGCTCTATTGTTCAATAAGTACATATACACTTGTAATAAGTGAAATTTCCCACAAAATAAGTGAAAAATCCACTTATTTATAAATGTATATGCACTTATTAATAGAGAAGACGACTTATAACACACACAGTAAAAAGTAAATATTAATTCAAGGCCAGCCTTAAATTCAGCACTGGCTTCTATAATGTTAAATCATACAAAATTCATGCGTAAATTCAGCATTAACTGTCTTAAAAATGTTGCATCGTAATTTAAGACTACTTTGCTGTCTTAAAATAATACTTTCTTCTTACTGTGTGTAATAAGTGAAATTGCACATAATTATTCAGATTTAGAGAGTATGTTTTTAAAATTGCTAGTCAGTATTTTTCAACTTCTATAATAAATAACAATAAATTCAATTAATTTCTTTTATAACATTTTTATAATTATTAATCTTTAAAAATATTCATCTATTCTTTCTGATTCCTCATGGATCATACTCGTTATCGACAAACAAGACAACTATAAGAACATAAGGTAATGCTCAGCTTTGTAAATCACTACTGTGAATGTAAAATAAATCACATTGCTATTCGTACTAAAAATTAAAGATATATGTAACACTGAAAAAGCAATAAAGTGGAAGCTTGATTATACCAAAAGAAAATCAATTTATCCGAACTTTTTCTGACCACCCGAATCTTTCAAAGCAAAATAACAAAATTTTATGATAAAAAATTTTTGAAAATCCTGAATTCTCTATTTTATTAATATATTATTATGAATTAATATATATCTACATAAATATATTTATGTATATTAAACAAATTATTTAACTAAAAAATATAGTTTAACTGTCCAAATTTTTTACTATAATTATAAAAAAATATAATAATTTTCCCAAAATAACTGAAATAAAATCAAGAGCTGTAAAAATTTTAGTACTGGAAATATATGAGTGCTCTAAAAATTCAAGAACATCGAATTCATTTTCTAAAACGTTGATTGACAAAAAGAATGAAATATAAAATTGATAAGGGAATGATTTTAATTGTCCAACTTTTAAAACGGATTGCCAAGCAACTTAAAAAAATTGCCTATCTTTGAAATTTGCTAAAAAGTAAAATATAATTGATTAAAATTTTCTAAAAGGTTTATTGACCAAAAAAAAGAGTTTAAAAATTGATATGGAATTGCTTTTGATTATTAAACTCAACATTGATTGTCCATTCATTAAAAATGATTGTCCAATCTTGAAACTTGCTAAAAAGTGGAATATAATTGATTAAAATGTTCTAAAAGGTTTATTGACCAAAAAAAAGAGTTTAAAAATTGATATGGGTTTGCTTGATGCTTGATGTTGTTCCTTAAATGCCAAATGTTATTCAATGTTATACGTAAAAGTTGACTGACCATGGCATGAGAGTTGAACACATTGTAAACTTTCATGCAATTTTCAATCAATTTTTGCATCAAACAATGAAAAACAGAGGCGCATAAATTTTTCCCAAAAGAAAATTGACCAAATAATAGACATTTGATCGAAAAGATATTTGACAGAATAGACATTTGACCGATCAAATGTGTATTCTATATCAAATGCCGTTTGAGCGAATGTATATTCAATCAATTGTATTTTCAGGAACAATTACTGCGCCTCGAAGAACAGTCGGGATTTAAAGAATTATTCCGAACATTACAGTCATGATAATTTCAAACTTTAGAAAAATTTCGATGCTGTCTGTGGTAAATACAAATTATTAAAAATATTAAATCTACTAAGTTTTTGTTAGAACATTAAAAGAGTATTTCCATTTTTAGATATTCTTATGAGCTTAAAAAAGAAATACAAAACGGAAATATGAACTTAGCCAAAAAAATTAGAAAATTCCAAATTTCTAAAGACAGGAAATTTTTTTATGGATCAACTAGAATTTTTCCAGTTTCGTATCAAGTATGAAAAGATTTTTAAAAAAGGTTAGAGGTGGGAGCAAAGAAATCCGAAGATTTTCAGAAAAATTTTTGACATTCGATGAAATTAGCCAAAAAAAAAATAGAAAATTCCAAATTTCTAAAGACAGGAAATTTTTTTCCGGATCAACTAAAGTTTTTCTAGTTTCGTATTAAGTTTAAAAAGAATTTTCCAAAGGTTAGAGGAGGGAACAAAGAAATCCGAAGATTTTCAGAAAAATTTTTGACATTTGACGAACTTAGCCATAAAAATAGAAAATTCAAAATTTTTAAGGACAGAAAATTTTTTTCTGGATCAACTAAAGCTTTTCCAGTTTTTTATCAAGTATAAAAAGATTTTTAAAAAGGTTAGAGGAGGGAGCAAAGAAATCGGAAGATTTTCAGAAAAATTTTTGAAATTCGATGAACTTAGCCAAAAAAAATAGGAAAATTCCAAATTTTTAAAGACAGGAAATTTTTTTCTACATTAATTAAAGTTTTTCTAGATTTGTTTCAAGGATGAAAAGATTTTCCAAAAGTTTTCAGGTGGAAGCAAAGAAATCCAAATATTTTATGAAAGAATTTTGACATTCGATGAAATTAGCCAAAAAAAAAAAAAAAAAATTCCAAATTTTTAAAGACAGGAAATTTTTCTCTCCATCAACTAAAGTTTTTTAGAGTTGTTTCAAGGATAAAAAGATTATCCAAAAATTTTCAGGAGGAAGCAAAGAAATCCAAAGATTTTATGAAAAAATTTTGACATTTGATGAAATTAGCCAAAAAAAAATAGGAAAATTCCAAATTTTTAAAGACAGGAAATTTTTTTCTCCAACAACTAAAGTTTTTCTAGATTCCTTTCAAGGATAAAAAGATTATCCAAAAATTTTCAGGAGGGAGCAAAGAAATCCAAAGATTTTATGAAAAAATTTTGACATTTGATGAAATTAGCCGAAAAAATAGAAAATTCCAAATTTTTTAAAGACAGGAAATTTTTTTCTATATTAATGAAAGTTTTTCTAGATTTGTTTCAAGGATGAAAAGATTTTCCAAAAGTTTTCAGGAGGGAGCAAAGAAATCCAAATATTTTATGAAAGAATTTTGACATTGGATGAAATTAGCCAAAAAAAATAGGAAAATTCCAAATTTTTAAAGACAGGAAATTTTTTTCTCCAACAACTAAAGTTTTTCTAGATTCCTTTCAAGGATAAAAAGATTATCCAAAAATTTTCAGGAGGAAGCAAAGAAATCCAAAGATTTTATGAAAAAATTTTGACATTTGATGAAATTAGCCGAAAAAATAGGAAAATTCCAAATTTTTAAAGACAGGAAATTTTTTTCTCCATTAACTAAAGTTTTTCTAGATTTGTTTCAAGGATGAAAAGATTTTCCAAAAGTTTTCAGGTGGAAGCAAAGAAATCCAAATATTTTATGAAAGAATTTTGACATTCGATGAAATTAGCCAAAAAAAAAAAAAAAAATTCCAAATTTTTAAAGACAGGAAATTTTTCTCTCCATCAACTAAAGTTTTTTAGAGTTGTTTCAAGGATAAAAAGATTATCCAAAAATTTTCAGGAGGAAGCAAAGAAATCCAAAGATTTTATGAAAAAATTTTGACATTTGATGAAATTAGCCAAAAAAAATAGGAAAATTCCAAATTTTTAAAGACAGGAAATTTTTTTCTCCAACAACTAAAGTTTTTCTAGATTCCTTTCAAGGATAAAAAGATTATCCAAAAATTTTCAGGAGGGAGCAAAGAAATCCAAAGATTTTATGAAAAAATTTTGACATTTGATGAAATTAGCCGAAAAAATAGAAAATTCCAAATTTTTTAAAGACAGGAAATTTTTTTCTATATTAATGAAAGTTTTTCTAGATTTGTTTCAAGGATGAAAAGATTTTCCAAAAGTTTTCAGGAGGGAGCAAAGAAATCCAAATATTTTATGAAAGAATTTTGACATTGGATGAAATTAGCCAAAAAAAATAGGAAAATTCCAAATTTTTAAAGACAGGAAATTTTTTTCTCCAACAACTAAAGTTTTTCTAGATTCCTTTCAAGGATAAAAAGATTATCCAAAAATTTTCAGGAGGAAGCAAAGAAATCCAAAGATTTTATGAAAAAATTTTGACATTTGATGAAATTAGCCGAAAAAATAGGAAAATTCCAAATTTTTAAAGACAGGAAATTTTTTTCTCCATTAACTAAAGTTTTTCTAGATTTGTTTCAAGGATGAAAAGATTTTCCAAAAGTTTTCAGGTGGAAGCAAAGAAATCCAAATATTTTATGAAAGAATTTTGACATTCGATGAAATTAGCCAAAAAAAAAAAAAAAAATTCCAAATTTTTAAAGACAGGAAATTTTTCTCTCCATCAACTAAAGTTTTTTAGAGTTGTTTCAAGGATAAAAAGATTATCCAAAAATTTTCAGGAGGAAGCAAAGAAATCCAAAGATTTTATGAAAAAATTTTGACATTTGATGAAATTAGCCAAAAAAAAATAGGAAAATTCCAAATTTTTAAAGACAGGAAATTTTTTTCTCCAACAACTAAAGTTTTTCTAGATTCCTTTCAAGGATAAAAAGATTATCCAAAAATTTTCAGGAGGGAGCAAAGAAATCCAAAGATTTTATGAAAAAATTTTGACATTTGATGAAATTAGCCGAAAAAATAGAAAATTCCAAATTTTTTAAAGACAGGAAATTTTTTTCTATATTAATGAAAGTTTTTCTAGATTTGTTTCAAGGATGAAAAGATTTTCCAAAAGTTTTCAGGAGGGAGCAAAGAAATCCAAATATTTTATGAAAGAATTTTGACATTGGATGAAATTAGCCAAAAAAAATAGGAAAATTCCAAATTTTTAAAGACAGGAAATTTTTTTCTCCAACAACTAAAGTTTTTCTAGATTCCTTTCAAGGATAAAAAGATTATCCAAAAATTTTCAGGAGGAAGCAAAGAAATCCAAAGATTTTATGAAAAAATTTTGACATTTGATGAAATTAGCCGAAAAAATAGGAAAATTCCAAATTTTTAAAGACAGGAAATTTTTTTCTCCATTAACTAAAGTTTTTCTAGATTTGTTTCAAGGATGAAAAGATTTTCCAAAAGTTTTCAGGTGGAAGCAAAGAAATCCAAATATTTTATGAAAGAATTTTGACATTCGATGAAATTAGCCAAAAAAAAAAAAAAAAAATTCCAAATTTTTAAAGACAGGAAATTTTTCTCTCCATCAACTAAAGTTTTTTAGAGTTGTTTCAAGGATAAAAAGATTATCCAAAAATTTTCAGGAGGAAGCAAAGAAATCCAAAGATTTTATGAAAAAATTTTGACATTTGATGAAATTAGCCAAAAAAAATAGGAAAATTCCAAATTTTTAAAGACAGGAAATTTTTTTCTCCAACAACTAAAGTTTTTCTAGATTCCTTTCAAGGATAAAAAGATTATCCAAAAATTTTCAGGAGGGAGCAAAGAAATCCAAAGATTTTATGAAAAAATTTTGACATTTGATGAAATTAGCCGAAAAAATAGAAAATTCCAAATTTTTTAAAGACAGGAAATTTTTTTCTATATTAATGAAAGTTTTTCTAGATTTGTTTCAAGGATGAAAAGATTTTCCAAAAGTTTTCAGGAGGGAGCAAAGAAATCCAAATATTTTATGAAAGAATTTTGACATTGGATGAAATTAGCCAAAAAAAATAGGAAAATTCCAAATTTTTAAAGACAGGAAATTTTTTTCTCCAACAACTAAAGTTTTTCTAGATTCCTTTCAAGGATAAAAAGATTATCCAAAAATTTTCAGGAGGAAGCAAAGAAATCCAAAGATTTTATGAAAAAATTTTGACATTTGATGAAATTAGCCGAAAAAATAGGAAAATTCCAAATTTTTAAAGACAGGAAATTTTTTTCTCCATTAACTAAAGTTTTTCTAGATTTGTTTCAAGGATGAAAAGATTTTCCAAAAGTTTTCAGGTGGAAGCAAAGAAATCCAAATATTTTATGAAAGAATTTTGACATTCGATGAAATTAGCCAAAAAAAAAAAAAAAAATTCCAAATTTTTAAAGACAGGAAATTTTTCTCTCCATCAACTAAAGTTTTTTAGAGTTGTTTCAAGGATAAAAAGATTATCCAAAAATTTTCAGGAGGAAGCAAAGAAATCCAAAGATTTTATGAAAAAATTTTGACATTTGATGAAATTAGCCAAAAAAATAGGAAAATTCCAAATTTTTAAAGACAGGAAATTTTTTTCTCCATCAACTAAAGTTTTTCTAGATTTGTTTCAAGGATAAAAAGATTATCCAAAAATTTTCAGGAGGGAGCAAAGAAATCCAAATATTTTATATAAGAATTTTGACATTCGATGAAATTAGCCAAAAAAAATAGGAAAATTCCAAATTTTTAAAAACAGGAAATTTTTTTCTCCATCAACTAAAGTTTTTTAGATTTGTTTCAAGGATAAAAAGATTTTCCAAAAGTTTTCAGGTGGGAGCAAAGAAATCCAAAGATTTTATGAAAAAATTTTGACATTTGATGAAATTAGCCAAAAAAATAGGAAAATTCCAAATTTTTAAAGACAGGAAATTTTTTTCTACATTAATTAAAGTTTTTCTAGATTCGTTTCAAGGATAAAAAGATTTTCCAAAAGTTTTCAGGATGGAACAAAGAAATCCAAAGATTTTATGAAAAAATTTTGACATTTAATTTAACTTTCAAGACATTTTTGGAGTTGTGTGAGGAAGGAAGAAACAAAATATCGGTAAGTAATTTTCTGTATTATTTTCTACATTGTTCAGTAATAATTTTATTTAATATACAATAGGAAAAGCGGCTAATTATATTTAATTAATAAAAAATTTAAGGGTTACCATCAACAAGCATATTCATAATATTCATTCTCTTTTGAACAGCAGGCGCATTATGAAATTCATTTTCCTCATCTACTTCATGAAGAATAATTTCAGCAATATGTTGATTTATTTCATGTAGTATTTCTTCATTCATATCATCTTCTAGGTCCAAACATATGTTATGAAGAACGCAACAGGCAACAATAATTAAAGGTCCGTACGCCACGTTTTGTAAATAAAGGTAAAACAAACGTCTAAAACGACCTTTCAATAAACCGAATCCCCGCTCTACAGTCATTCTTGTTTTAGATAGAATTGTATTAAACCTGACCTGGGAAGGAGTTAAATGGCCATTATCTTTAAAGGGCACCATGAGAAACGGATGCAATTTGTAAGCAGCATCTCCAAGAATATGCATTTCCTCAGGACAGAAATTTTCTGATTCTGTTATCAATTGCTGTCCCATGGGGCTCATTTCAAAGAGACGATTGTCGTGGACACTACCGCAAACACCTGCGAAAACATCAAGGAATCTTCCTTGGCTATCACACATTCCTTGAAGAAGGAGTGAGTGAAAGCCTTTGCGGTTAACATAACTTCCAGCATCAGCAGACGGAGCCCTAATTTCTATATGGCAACCATCCACTGCAGCCAGAACATTAGGGAAGCCACCAGCGTTTCTAAAATCTCTAGCTACTTGATGAAAGTTGTTCGCTTCAGGCCACTTAATGTACTCTCCTGATAATGCGTTGAGAACTTGACTAACGCTAAGCATGCAATTCCACGCAGTGTCTTTGCATACTCCAAAGCGATCAGCTACTGTTCTAAAAAAGGTATGAAATAGTGTTATGTAAATATAAACTGATTAAAGAATTTATTCTACTAAATTATATATGCGTACGTCTGCCCATTTTGGCACTATTGAATTTAAGTATATATATAAGAGTACATTTTTTATAAAATTTTGAACAGTGGTTTAGACCTCTTTAAAGGTAAAATTAGTGAAGTTTAGATATTTAAAGTTAATAGTATAAGAAAAATTAATTTACAAAAAAACGAGTTTAAAGTTAAAATCTAGCATTTGTTGCCATGTTTTTTGCCATTTGTTTTTGCTTGGAAATTATTGAACGTAATAATTGAATTGAAATGATTCTATCACTTTGCTGTCGTTAATTATCTTCATGGTTTTTGAATTATGAAAAATAATTTTCTCTAACGCTTGCTCTGAAAGGAGTACTTTTCTTGGTAGAAAAGTGTGGCGAAAGTAAAATTTGGCGTGGCGAAAGTAATTTTTAGCGTGGCGAAAGTATATGTGGACGTCCACATGAAAAGGGCCCATTTTGGCACTATTGGAGTTATCTATATGGGCGTATTCCTTGCAAAATTTGGAAAATTTTGAATGCTCTTAGAACTTTTTTGGTTAAAAATTCGCTGAGTTACGGAATTTCAAAGTTTAAAACGCCAAAAACCTCATTTCGAGAAAAACGGAATTAAGGATTGCGATACCAACTATAATTGTTGTATCTCTAGTTCTTCTGAGAAGTTATTCAGATAATAATTGTTTCCAGTTCAGGGCATCTTGAAGATAAAAAACCAACAGGTTTAAAATTTTTAGAACCACCCCCTTCCCTCTTAATTTTGAAAATACGAAAGACCGACAATATGGGCCCTTTTCTAAAAAGGACAGTTTTTCTATTAAAAAACCATTTTTTTACTAGATTAATGATTAGATACAATTTTATTCTGTTATTTGGAGAAAAAGAGTAGATACTAAACTTATTTAAAATTTTTTGACAGTCTCTATTATGAAAAAAGTGACGCAATACCCAAATTTTCATTTCGACAATTACGAAAAAAACGACTCTAACATCAATTTCTCTGGTTCTTTGGGGAAGTTATTCAAATAAGAATTGTTTACAGTCCAGGACACCTTAAAGATGAAGAATCAAGAGGTTTAAAATTTTTCCACACCTACATTTTTAAAATACGGATTACTTTTGCAAATAACCGACAAAATGGGCCCTTTTCATTTTTCTAAAGAACCAATGAAATCAAACATTTAAATTATCGATAAATTAATGAAAACCGCATGATTCTACTTGTCAAAACATGTAGCTTGATAATAAAAAATAAAAAAAAATTAAGATCTTGCTCCAAAATTACTAAATTGCGATTATCTCGAAAACTAGAACCAACAATGTGGGCCCTTTTCATGTGGACGTCCACATATCATGACCTAATTCTTTTTTTTGTTCTTTGACCGATATATATTTTGTATCTAAGTTCTTCTCCACTCAAAACATTCGTCTTTTCTTATATTAAACATAAGCACACGTTAAATTAAAATTATACGAAACTCACGAAGAAACCTTTCCTCGCAAGGCGTTGGAGAAAACGTAGTACACAACACGTGGTGAAAGAATGATTTTTCTCAAGTGATTGCTGCTCTCGCTACGCTAGAGCCGCAAACTTCACTCACGAAAAATCACACTTTCGCCACTAGTTGCACAAAGTACTATTTTTTATCTATAAAATGCAAAATACAATACAAAATTAATATAATTAATATAACACAGTGCAACAGCATATTTATTTCTGGAATCGCATAGGGTGATTTTTATAGGTTTTTTGATGGCGAACGCGAATCCGTAATCAGAATTGTTCCATCACCCTAGTTATTCAAGAAATTAGACCTTGAAAATTGGAAAAGGCCGTTTTTAGGGAACTTTTTCGCTTGTTATAAGGGTACAAAAATTTTTCCTAGGATTTTCATTATATGCGTACGAAAACCCATGTCCTCCTCAACAATTTCCAATTTGGACCTTTTAAAGATATCTATTTTTCGATAAGTTATCCTTGTTTGAAGTTCGCATCGTTACGTGAAATAGGATAATAATGAGAAAAATATTAACATAATATTAACATTAATTTTAACCCATTAAATCTCAAGCAGAAACCAATAATTCGTTAAAGAAACCATTTGATTCTTAGGAAAATGAAAAATAAATTGACCACTGTTTTTGTGTTTATCATTTCCAATTGTTTAATAGTAATTTTACAAAAACAAAGATAATTCATCCAAAAATAGATATTTTTGAAGGGTCTAAATTTGTGATTGTTGAGGAGGATATGAGCTTTCGTATGCATATCATGAAAACCCTGGAGAAAATGGGACGCATGATTATTCCCCAAATGTCATTTTTCCGAAATGTCATTTTACCGAACTGCACTTTTGCGAATAGTCATTTTTGCGAAAAGCCATTTTTGCGAAATGTCATTTTTACGAATAGTAATTTTTGCGAAAAGCCATTTTTGCGAATAGTAATTTTTGCGAATTGTCATTTTTGCGAATCGCCATTTTTACGAATTGTCACTTTTGCGAATTGACATTTTTACGAATCGCCATTTTTACGAATTGTCACTTTTGCGAATCGACATTTTTACGAAATGTCATTTTTGCGAATAGCCATTTTTGCGAAAAGTAATTTTTACGAATTGTCGTTTTTGCGAATTGTCATTTTTGCGAAAAGCTATTTTTGCGAATTGTCATTTTTGCGAAATTTCATTTTTGAGAAATGTCATTTATGCGAATTGTCACTTTTGCGAATCGCCATTTTTACGAATTGTCACTTTTCCGAAAAGTCATTTTTGCGAAAAATACAATAGTGAATCTATATATACCTACAAGTTTACTATTGTATTTTTCGCAAAAATGACAATTCGCAAAAATGACTTTTCGCAAAAGTGACAATTCGTAAAAATGGCGATTCGTAAAAGTGACAATTCGTAAAAGTGACAATTCGTAAAAATGTCAATTCGCAAAAGTGACAATTCGTAAAAATGGCGATTCGCAAAAATGACAATTCGCAAAAATTACTATTCGTAAAAATGACATTTCGCAAAAATGGCTTTTCGCAAAAATGACTATTCGCAAAAGTGCAGTTCGGTAAAATGACATTTCGGAAAAATGACATTTGGGGAATAATCATGCGTCCCGAGAAAATTTTTGTACTCTTATAAAAAACCGAAAAGTATCCCAAAAACAAACGTTTTTCAATTATCAAGGTCTAATTTCTTGTAAACCTAGGAGGTGATGGAATAATTCTGATTACTGATTCCCATTCAGCATCAAAAAACCTTTAAAAATCACCCTATGCGATCCCAGAAATAATAAAAAAGTGAAATTCTGTAGCACTGTGTAATTAATATAATTAATATAAATGTGAATTAAATTTGTATTCTTAAAACGTTTTTAGTATGAACATGTTTTTTCGCCCAGAGTGAAATTTTTAATTTTTATGTTAGTAATTAGAAAACTCGAATCTTTTCGATTACATTATTTTATTCAAGTAATTTCGAGATTTTAGAAGGTGTATACTACATTTTGTTCTTTAAATTCCCGTTCATTTTTATGTTTTTCCTAGAATAAAAGTATTTGAAATCTGACTTGCTAAAAAAGATATTGTATGACAAATCGTACAAACTATTTTATTTTTAACTATTAATTATATATAGTTTCATGAATTAATATATAATAGAAATAATAGCCCTGAAAAATGAAATTTTAAATGGACTCAAAATTCAACTTGAAGCAAGTAAAAAGTTCCATTGTTATTCACAATTATGATTCATTTTCTGACTATTTTTCTATTTTACTCATATTTTCAGTTGGTGGACACCCTATTTGTATGTAAGAAGTTGTCAAATGACGAGAGAAATTTGAGAATTATTGGCATGACAATTCGTTTGATATGTTTTTAATCAACTTTCTATTTTCTTTAATAAATTAAATAAAATTTCTTATATATTATAAATATAGAAATAATGCACCTATACACTCCTTGATTGCACAAAGTCCAGAGAGCAATACAAACTTGCTTTTCAGGAGGAACAACAATCGGCCCAATATTTTTTCTAACAAGCAAAGGACCAATTCTTTCAAGAAGGTTTTGAAACGTTGTCCTTGTCATTCGGAAATGTTCCTTAAAATCTATTAAATTAAGAGAATAGAATGTATTACAGGTTTAGCAGTCAAGTTTTTTAGATATTTAATTTTTAAAAAAATGTTTTTATAAATATATTTCGAAATATTTCCTCTACTAAATATTAATTTCAATATTCCACGATAAAAAAATTTAATAAACTGTAAATTTATTAAAAAAAGAAGGAAAACTTTTGTTCTTTAATCATTAAATATATATTTAACTGTAATTTTTATTTTCAGTAATAGTACTGAAATATTACTGTATGTTCTTCTGCCTTGAAAACAATATTTTTATTACAGTTTTCATTAGAGAATGCAAATACAAATAATTTTTTAACACATTCAAGCTCACCATAGGACAGTGAATTCCGAAAAAAGTTCAGAAATGTTATTAAAAAGTGGGTGAAAAATATTGAACGAAATTTACGTATAATAGACTTATCCCCTTTTCTACTCTGCATTATTTTTATTATTAACACACTTAATTTCCTTAAGACAAACAATCATATTTTTATAGTACATATTTAGATAACTTTACCTACTATTGTTATGTAAAAAATTAATATTATTATTCATTATCGTTTTGAAAATTAGTTCTGGTAATGATATTTACCTGATAGGGAATACAGAGGAATTACTTCTTCGAAGTAATTTACTATTCTATAATGTTTCTTTCTTCTTGACTGAATTAAAATTTTTATTATGTCATCATCATCATCATCATCGTTAAAGAAAAGGTCCATAGCAAGCATAAGCGTTGCTGCGTTTTGTAAATTTTCTGCCATTATTTTTCAGCCGGCTTTGCAACTTTTTGCTTTCTAAACTCTACAAAAACCTGAATTAAAGTTTGTCGTTTTCTTCATTTCTTCCTTCGCTTATATGATTTTCCACGTCGGTAAAATAGTTATCCGCCCTTGTTCGAACGCAGTAATGCAGTAATGTAAATAGCTTCATAGAGCGTTTATACACCTTTAGTAAAAATTGTCCAGAACTAAAAACTTACGTAGGAGTAAGAGAGACAGGCTGTGTATCTGTCTCTCTTACTCCAATATAAATTTTGCATTATGGACAATTTTTACTAAATATGTAAATATGGTGCATAAGTATGAAGAGTATAAAGGTATACCGGTATACCATCTTCGTCTTTTTCATACTCTCAGTTTTATAATACGTGGCAGGGAAAACCCAATCTAAGAATTCCTGAACGTTTTCGTGTACATACTGATAAAAACTTATGAAAGAGTATATAAAAAAATTGTGGTCTAAAATTATATCAAAAATGATAAATGTTACTGGACTGAAAATTGATAAAAACAATGAATTAATTAGAAACAATGGACGAATTTTATGTACAATTGTAAACGAAGAGGATGGTAAGTCTTGAGCACATTTGACCCTAACCTATAGATTTATATTTATATATATTTTTTTTAATATTTCTAAGATGAAATTTATTTTTGGATCACAGAGTGAAATATTGTTTTTATGAAATAAATTACAATATTTTAATTTTTAATTATGTTTTATTAATTGAAAGTATCTGTAATAAAAACTTCAATTAATTTCAATATAAAATAATTATTTGAATCATTTGTTGATAGTAATTATAAATATTGAGAACTTAAATATCATTATTACAATTAAACTAATTTTGATTAATTTCTTTATTTTTAATATATCTAAATACTGTTATTGCTAAACTGTTTGGATAAACTCGTGTTCTAATAATAAGAAATTATTATTTTAATGGAAATAAATTTCAAGGTTCTTAAATATTTGAATTGAAATAATTTTAATAAATATTTGTCAATAATAGGTTCAGTTGGTGAAGCTTTCATTGAAGAAGGGTATTTGCAGAACATCTTACCCAACGAAGGGACAGAAGGAAATGAAGGGAGAGATTTTGAGAATACTTCTAGTGCTCCTACCATTGAAATTCCCGACGATGACGAAGACATTTCAGAAGCTGAAGAAAAGCATTTTCAAGCAACTGCATCAGAAGGTAAAAATAATTTGAATATTTTACAGGCAGTATGAAATTTTTTAAATATTCTTTGAAAGTATGTACATTTTCAGTTTAGTTTTTGATTTATTTTAAACGTTCTTTTTAAACCTCTTAAATTTTTGTAACAATCCAATCGCAATTCTAATTCATTAAAAACAAGTTTACCTACTTTTGAAAATGAAAATTTTATTTTATTTATTTATAATTTTTATCAGTTGCTCTAATAAATGAAATATTGTTAAAGTTTAATAAATTACAAAAGTACAATTATCAAAGTTGTTACTAAGAATTGTTTTCTTTAAACAAATTATTATTTTTATTTACTAAATTTTTTAATGAAGCTATTCATAAAGATGCAGTTTTTTCCTAATTTAAATTAGCTGAACTTTACATAAATACTAATTCATATTAATAATAATAATTATTTTGTTAAATTAATTTTAAATAATTTTTCAACACATTGTTATTCACTTCTTTTTAATAAAATTTACCTTTAGGGAAATGCAGTTTTTCTCAATTTTGCAATTTACCACAATTTTATAAAAAAAACCGATTCAGATGGAAAATAAAATTATTATTTAATCAATTATGTAAAATATTAGTAAATAACAAAATTAATTTTTTAAATGCTTTTTTGAGTAGTAATTTTATTTTTAATCTGCAAATCAATATTTCGAATTACTTTAGTAAATTGCAAAATTAGAATACTGCAAAAAATTTGTAACTGACAATAATAATTTATTTATATTATTATTAATATATTAATTTTGTTTCCAATCAGCACAGGTATTATATAAAGTTAGGTAAATTGTTATAAATTAAGAAAGATACTGCTACCTCTAAAGTGATTTGTGTAAAAAGTTTGCAAATAATAATAATAATAATAATAATGATTTTGTTAATCTCTGTGGATATATAGATGTTTTTTGAAAATTTATAATATTACATTTTTTAAATATGTTTTTCCAGATATACAATTGGAAAAGAAATGGCCTCCGGACAATGTCAAATTACTCATAACAAGTTATGAAGAAATTTGGCAGAATCCAGCAAACAAAAAAAAGATGCCCAACACAATGTGGGAAATGGTTGTCAAGAAACTAAATCAAGTTGGCTGTTGCAAATATAATAAAAAAGATTGCATGGATAAATTCAAGAGTTTAAAGAGAACTTATAAAAATCAGAAGAAAAGAAAAGAAACATCTGGGGAGGGAAACGCAGACTGGGAGCATTATGAACAAATGCATAATTTAATGTTTCAAAAACCAGAGATGAACCCCATAGCAACATCATCCAATATTACCGGTTTTAAAAAAAGTAAACCTATCGAAACAAAAAAGCGCAAAATGACTATAGATTCGTCTAGCGATGAAGAAAAGCAAAATATCAAACAGCCTCGTAAAAAAAAGAATAATTCTGAGATGGAGAAAATTTTGGACTTCATGGAGAAGAAAGAAGAAAACAGAAATAAATTTATAGAGCGTTTTTTATCTATACTTGAAAAGAAGTAAAATAGTACCGTATTTTTCTAAATACTTGTTGTTTGATATAAATTCTTTCCTTTTTTTATTTTATTCGATATTTTTAAAACAAATTTTTTGAAATTTTGATTATAGATCACATATTTGTTTGAGTGGTTTTGAGGTTTCTTCGACTTTTTGATAAAATATGTAGCATGCGTTAAACTTTTTCGTCACTTAAAAAATTATAATGTTATAAAGTAAAAAAAATAAATAAATAAACTTAATTACCTATAAAAAAATCTTTCTTTGATTAAATAAAAATCTTTTAAAAATGAGAACTTTTTTCTCGGTGTCGAGAATTTTATCGACTTTTTAAATTTATTTCACTAGAACTACCTATACAATTTTAATAAATGTAAAACATTTTTAATCTTCTATATTAATATCTGTTCGCAGTTTGAAGTTAATTGTTATTTAGGTACTTTTTTGTTTCCTAATTTTTTTACTAATTTTCTTGTTAAATATTTTTAAATTAAAATTAAAAAAAACATTAAAACTCGTTGTACTCTTGCAAAAATTTGAGAATAATTGAATTACTTAAAAAATTGTATTATTTATGAAAATAATTATATTCTCGCTAAGAATTATTAAAAAATTCTTGGAATCCCTAATTAAATTTCTTTGAAGAATTATTCTCAATTTGTTTAATAATTGAATTTCTTTAATAATTTTAATTGGAAATTTTTAAAGTACTTTATTTATAATTTAATAAAATAAAACAATTTTTAATTTTAATCTTTCAAGTTTTTCTAAAACAAAATAATTTATTCAAGTAACTTTATTAAAATATAGAAAACAATAAAAGTAATTGAATTCTTACAAAAAATTTCTTTAATTTATTGAATATAATCGAGTTTGTTAAAAATTGTCATAAATAATTTTACTATTAAACTTTTATTAAAATTATTAATTGAAAATTAAATTCTTTAAAATAATTTTATTAGAATTTTTGTAAGTAATTAAATTCTTTTCAAGAATTTCTTTAAGTTTTTTGATAAAAAAGTGTGTAATTTCTTAAAATGATTTTAAATGATAATTTTAAAAACCATAGAAGTAAACAAAAAAATTTGATCAACCTTTTAAAATTATCGCGTCTGGTGGTAGTAATTATAATAAAATATTTGATTATTCTCACGTTTATTAAAATTGTATTGAAAATAATTGAATTTCTGAGAATAATTTTATTATTTATAAAAATAATTTAATTCTTTTGAAGAATGTTGTTGTTTATGAAAATAATTGAATTCTTGGACAAAGAATATTGTATTAGAAATTTTGAAATTAATAAACAAGAATAATTAATTAGTAAATTAGTTAATAATTGAATTGTTTGAAAGTTTGAATCGGAAATTTTTCAATAATTCGTATTTGGAAATAAACAGTTTTGTAATTTGCATAATATTGAAAATAAACACGTGTAGATTTGGACACATGTAAATACACGAGTAAATTCACAAGGAAAAGATTTTACACGTGTAATAATGTTTTCCGCGTGTAACTACACATGTAAATACAGGAGAAAAAATTGTTACACGTGTAAAAAACGTTTCCTCGTGTATATTTACATGTGTAAGATATGTCCAAAAAGACACATGCAATTACACGTGTAAATTTTCACATAATAATAAATAGAATACCACATTCCGCGCGTATAATTTGCTAGTGAAATAATTAAACTACTTATTTAAATCTGAAGTAGTCAATATTTTGACTAATTCAAGTAGTAATTCTACTACATTACATTTGTATAAAGTAGTAAAACTTGCTATATCCCAGGTAAAAAATGATTCGCACGAAATTCGTACGAATTTCGTTCAGAAATCTGTCCAGATTCCTACAGAATTCCTATCGAATTCGAACGAAATTGCTAGTGAAATTCTTGTGACGTTTTGAAACGTTTTTTCGCACGAATATTCGTGCGAATAGTACCCGGATTTTTAAAAATGAATTTTCAAAAAAAAAAATTCTTTCGGAAATCCGTATGGAATTCCGCATGAAATGTCAACTAAAAATTTCCTCAAAAATTTTCAGCGAAATTTCCATACGAAATTCGTATGAAATTCGAGCGAATTACGAACGGATTCATTTTGGAAAATTTTTATAAAATCTGCTCGTAAATTCGTATGGAATTTTGCACGAATTCGCTAGAAATTCTGTACGAATCTGGACAGATTTCTGAACGAAATTCGTACGAATTATACGAATCATTTTTACCTGGGTATGAAATGCATAAGTACTGGTTTCTACTATTACCGGGTATAACATCTCAAAATTATAGTGAATAACCTTATCCAGATTCGTTAAAATTTACAAATAAATTAATAAAACTAATCGTTTTATAAAATAATTGGTAAAATTTTACTAATAAAATTGTCAAAAAATGAAACCTCTCATAAAATTAGTTATAAAATTTTAAATAATTATATTAAAATGTATTATGAGTTTTGATTTTATTTTTTTTACATAATTTTAGTATATTAAAATATAAATTTAATAAATGAAATTTTTTAAAGAAAAAAATTAATTACTACACTAATGAAATAATATTTTTTTTAATTTACATTAAGTGGGTTAATTAAGTTTTTTCGTATTATTATAACGATACAAACTTTCATTATATTTTTTCCTTTCTCTATTTATTTATTAATCGATTTTAACATAAATAATTTTTATTAGAATTAATATTATAATTTGAAAAATTGTTTAACGATTTTAACGGTTTAAATTTAAAACCTGGAACCCTTCGGAGCTCTAGCCAGAGAGCTGGATCGTGAGAGTGCTTGAGATTTCAGGTGTAAAAACGGTCTGAACGCAGCTTTTGCGCAATTTACTATTTCAGAACGCATCCCTTCTAGTTAAATACCTATAAAACTGCAGCCAGTATCACATACACTATCTGATTCATACGCTCTCAACGAATCAGAGTCCAAGTTAACAAATTTACTTTTCAAACTAAAATGAGAACCTTTCACGCCTCCGAGGCGCTTCAGGGCCTATATCTCGTAAACACCCTGTGAAGTTGTCTCGAGGGGAAGTATTGGAAATTTGAATTTAAACCGCGATCCAACCTGTGACTTTTTTGGCCTATAGACGGCGCTTCACTTTTCATGAACTAAACACTGTCGAACACAGTCGTTTTCACTCTGTCCTAGAGTATACTTGTTTGCTTTTGTAAACCTTTTCATCTATTAATAAATCGAGCTATTTGTATTTCATTTAAATCTGTGTCTCAGTTCATTTGTTTCGCTATTGCCCCATTTTAATAGTCAATAGTTAATAATACTTAAATGAGATCTTTCATAAGAATTTGTTTTTTAATAACAGGCTCATAATTTTGAAAAGTTAAATTGACACCTTCTTTCTCCTTATTATTTTTTAAAAAACTATCAATAACTTTTTATCAGCCATCTAATTTTTAAAAATAAAACGTAAACATTTTTTAGTAATTTACTAATAACAACTATCAAAATGGATTGTTTTTAGTCATATAAATTTTTTTAATTTTAGAATCCACATAGCCATAATTTTGTACAATAATAAATTATGAGCAATTTAATTCCAATAAAAAAAATTATAATTTTTTTTCTAGATAGATCTTAAATCTTTATAAATGATTTTTTTAATATTGAACAACCGACTTAAAACACTGTATTATTGAAAATACAATTAATATTTTTAAATTTGACATAAAGTTTGTAAACATAATATAATAAATAATCACGTTAAACAAATATTATTTTGGATTTTTAATCAAACAATTTATATAACCAAAAGAATTAAGTTTTCATTCTTAATTGATTTTTTCTATACTTGATGGAACTTTTATAAAGTCAAAAAAGGTATTACTATTAAATTATATAGTGAAAAATTTAGTTTTTAATTTTTTTAAGAAGCTTAAAGAATAATAAAATTAGATACGAAAAATCCAAAACGTTAAAAAGTTGTAATTTAATAAACATCCACTATTAGTAATTATTATAATATATTATAATCACGCGTCCAAAAATAAATTTAATTCACTTGGCGGGTTTTTTTAAAATCTACGAAATTCACTAAAAAAACTAAAATTCTTGAATTCTGTAAATTTTTTTTACCTTTTTTGGAAAAAAGTAGCATTTAGTAGCTTTTTGACAAAATAAGTAGCAAAAAGTAGGCTTGACCAAAAAAAGTGGAAAAGTGTGTCACTTCGAAGCCTAGCTTCATTATTTTTGGGCTCTTGGAAAAAACTTTACTTATTTAATAGTCTCGACTCTTTGGTAAAAAATCTAAAATTATCGAAAATTATCAAAAATTCAAAAATCCGAATTTCTTAAAATTCAACATTTTTTCCTCTCTTTTATGGCATTTAGCTTCATTACACGGAAAAAAAAGTTCACGAATCTCTCGTGAACTGGTATATCTCTTTTGGATGGGACACAAAATTTCAAAATTTTCATTCACTTTTGATTAGAAATGGCGAACGTCAACGAAAAACTGAAACAAAGTTAATGAATTTTTGATGAACTGTTAAGGAAGAGTAGTTCGTCAAAAGTAGAGGTACAAGTTCACGAAAAAATCGTGAACTCGCGAGTGTCAGTAGTATGCGCAGTTCGTAATGCGCATCAAATATAGCTGATCAAGCATTCATCATTCAGTCGGTGTCATCGGTGTTTACATTCGGGAAAATTCTTTGATGAAAGTTATTATTTAGAATCAGTGTTTTTTATTACTTAGTGAATATTTTTGTTTGCTAATTTCCTTTGTGAAACAAATAATTCATAAAATGAATTAAAAGTTACGATAAGGGACTTTTTCTACTTTGCACGGTCCTGAGTTTTACAGCAGACAAAGCTAATCGTTTCGTTTGTCGAAGGACAGTGTATCTAGATTTAGCCGTGGCGGTTAGTTGTTAGAAATATTATGTTATAGGGTATAGGTACTAGGTTCGAATCCCGTGAAGCGAATTACGAATTTTAATGGCGATAAAATTGTGTATTCTGTGTAGTTGGATGCGTAATAGGCGTCAAGTTATCAAATAAAGTGAAATACTATAAAAAAGTAGTGTCTGGAAATTATTTTTTCTTGTTTTTAGCATTTTTTAAAAGTTCACGAATTTTTCGTTAACGTTGACGAAAAGTTCGGAAACAGTACTATGTTTCTAGTGAAGGAGTTGATGAAATTTTGACGAA